AGACACCAAAAGTGTACGTGTGGCTAGTTGTACTCTCTAATGTAAAGGTGACTTCTTTGAGGCTTCGGCCACAAGTCTCTATATCCAATTTACTGAATAAAACCCTAGGCCCAAAAGAGGCTAGTTGAATATCCAAAAAAAATATATATTACATATACATTAAACCTTATTGTTAGTAATTTTGTAAAAGTTAAATCTGTTAATTATATCTTAAAACAAATCAACCAAGTTGTTAAATTTTTTAAAAGATCACATAAAGCATGTCTTCTTTATAAAGACATAAAATATATGAATATAAGTAGTGATAAGTTAGAGACATATGTTGAAACCAGATAGGTTTTAGTTTTTGAAACCACATTGTCAATCATAAGACTAAAACCTGTTTTTGAAAAGATATATATTATGCAAATATACTATTTTTTTTTTTAAATTAAAGGTTTTAATATTTATATTTATTTAATTTTTTTTAGATTCTAGAAAATAATTGTAATGTAATTAGTAAACAAAATATTATTTTACTATTAAATAATAATAATATATTTTATACTAGCTATTATTGAATTGCTTTTATAGTTTAACCTATTAAAGAAACAATATATTGCTTAGAATTATGTAATGCACATCTTGCTGATTGTTTTATCAGAATAGTAAGACTAAAATAAAATTCTTGTAAATAATATTTTTCATAAAATCAGCTATTAGCATATTCAATCAATATTATACAGAATTCAATATTGATCCATATTTGCTTGCATACTTTTTTTATCCTGGTTATTGAGATACTAAGATCTAAAATTGGTTTTATTTTTATATTAATAAAAAATAAAACCAAATTTATATATATATATATTTTTTGCTTTTGCTAAGGCTGTAATTATCAATAGCTATTACCTTTATTATATTTTAATTATGATTACATAACTTGTACAAGGTGAGTATACAACTAGCCACATATACAACTTTTGGTTGTCCAATTTAAGTAGTCTGCTTGCACAACAGGTTCTACACTAGCTGCCATACCTACAATCCACTAAACGATTACCTATTTAAATACTCTGATCTCTATACTTATACTAACAAATAGTGTACAAGTTTCTGTATATCTAAGTGTCATCTAACCTAATCATGACCTTTCTGTCTGTACATCCATCAAGCCATTACACATTTAAGAGTATGTCACCTGACTTGTAAGACTTCAGGGGGCTCCTTTGCTAATTAACTACCTATATTTAGTATCTTGTTAACAGGGCTCACCCTTGCAGAGTTCATATAGACCCTAGCACTGACTTCACAGCATATCTCTAGTACTTTAGTATACCTCTGTTTCCGACCTCAGACTTCCAATCCAAATAGCCTAATAGGACTATGACCTATCTCTGATACCCTAGGGTCTGCTCTTCAAGGTTCTTTTCCTTCAGTTCAAGACTTTTAGCAGCCTAGTTGGTAGTACCTCTTACCTAAGGTTCTTGCTTACCTGATTCTTTTCACATTGGTATCCATTTTCTAGGTTTAGCCTTTACAATAGTACTATCAAAGATTTGTGCTATCTCTCTACTCAGGTCTTTCCAAGTGGGCTCTGGTTTTCCTAGTTCACAAATTTACATGGCCATGAGGACTTATCTTAGGTTTGCATTACCTGATGCCAGTTTGCATTCCTCTGTATAACTTCAACATTGTGCAGATGCCCCATGACTTGCAGTTATCTGGTGCAACCATGTTACAGGTACTGATCCCAACTGATTGACAGATTGCTGTTGCTATAGTATTAGACATAATGACTTATCTTAAGTTTGCACTGTCTAATGCTGGTTTGCATTTCTTTGTATAACTTCAACATTGCACAGATGCCTGTAGTACTAATATGCATAAATGGTTTTCTAAATTTTTAATATTGATGAATTTTGAACTCCCTACCTACCACTTGGAGAGTTGATAACTTATCCATTTCACTAAGTTGTCACACTCCTATATATTAATTTATCTAAAGCTGTATTTTAAGTTTGGGTTTATTTCAAAGTTTATCAAAACTTAAAGTCAAATTTTTTTGTTTAAAACAACTTATATAACAATAGCTTATCAACCTGTATAGATATATTTCAATATATATATTTTAAAATATTTATATATTTTATATTCTAATGTTTATTTAATAATATTTAGATATAGGATTACATCAAAATGTATTTTGGCAAATTTGTAAAATTGCTGCAAAATTTTATAAAAGCATTCATAATGATGAAACTGCATGTTAACAGTTAATTACTCAACTAATTAAATATAAAGATCAAGAATATTCTTTTAATTTTGCTTATGACTCTTTTTCTAAATTACCTTATTTGTGATGAGGTGTAATTGAGAATAATTATAAGCATCTTCAAGAATTGGCCAAAATTTTTTTTGTCATAATACTATTACAAGCAGGTTGTGAGTGAAACTTTTTATTTTAAGATGGTTATATAGAACTTACAGATTACAATTATTATTTGCATATATTGAAAACATAGTACAAGTTTATTTGTATTATATTTCTAATTTAAAACAAGAACTTTTATTTTATAAAAAAGAACTATCAAAAAATGGTTTACAAAATAGTATATTAGATAAAACAATATATATGATTTTTAGAAATAATGATGTATCATTAAAACAAATTGAAAATTCATTAGTATATTTCCAATTATTTAATGATAAAAAACTTGAAATTGGATCAATTATTAATTTGTTTGATATAATTTTTGGTGAACAAGGTGATGTTGAAAAAACATCCACTACAACACAAAGAATTAGTAATATGGATTTTGATCTTATTTCTGTTATAGAAAGTGAATTATGATTAACTAATACTAATTTTTCATAAATTAGTTATTTAATAAAAAAATATATACTATATAAAATATAATATATAAATTTTATAATATAGTTGGCTTATTGAAACTTCAAATGCTATATACAAAGAATTTTTTTTTCTTTTACTTTTTTAGAAATCTAGAATCCGAGATATATATGTTATGTAAAACATCTTGCAAAATAATTTCATTAAATAAATCTCTGTAAACAAGTTTCAGAATTGACTTGAGATCTAAAGTTATACAGTGCAAGAGAGTTAATTTATCATTCTATTACAATTGTGATGCTTTACAAAATTTTGCTATAATAAGTCTTTTAATGCAAATTTCATAACAATAATATAAGCATAATTATTTTTTCATATTCCTTTATATTCCAAGAATAAAGAATATGACCAATCTAAAACTTTAAAATACACAATTCCAAAACTAGTATGACCTATTGTATTTATTATTTTACAATGTACAGTATTATATTAAAAACATTTACTAATACTAAATTTATATATTAGCACTACTAATTCTACTAATCCTAGTCTCAACATCAAGTATACTAATATATATAAACAGATTATATAATAAAGTTCAAAAGTTTCAAAAGCAAAGAAGTAAGTAATAGAGCAATAGAAAAAAATTTAGGCAACAGAAAGAAACAATTACTTGCCTGACACTGATAACAATAAAATATCATTAAGGATGATGCCAATGATAGCTAGAAACATTTTACAATAATGAAATCAGCAATAAAAAAGAAACCACCAAATAGATGATACCAACAATGACTACTGTAATAATATTTTTAGTTTTTTTAAAAAAAAGAAAATTGGTTAATATGTGTTTGGAATTTTATATAAGGTTTATAATCAAATGTGTTAAACAGTAAATGTATAAGTGACATGAACTTTCTCTGCTGATCTTCAATTTCAAAAATAAGAAAAAACAAACTCAAAAATAGCAAGAAAATAGACTAGTAAACACTTTTTAAATGACTAACAAAAAAAAAGCTGTATTAGGAAAAAATATATATAACATAATAAAAGTTAGAAAACAAAGGAAGCTGTACTAAGATATTAATGAGAAACAACAATACTTTTAACAAAAAAGTAGAAAATTTTAGAAAATTGGCATTATTCTAAAAAATGAAAAACAAAATATATAATAACTATAGCAATAACAAACAACAACAAACAAACAGGTCTTATGCCTAATTAGGAAATAGTAAGCATTATTATAGAACTAGTAATATAGTACTAACAAGATACTAACAAATATTACAAAGTTTAATTATAGATACTGATTAGCCTAAAAAGAAAGATCTCAATCTAATCATTAGAATATAAATTAATGAATGAAAATTGCAATGCAGATATTATATCCTATATTAGAAGAATAGGTAATAGAAATCGAAGACATGTTGATTGTAAAATTCTGTATCAGGTTTTTAAAACTTCTACACAGAACCCAAGCAATATAAAGCATATTGCTAAAAAATTAGCAATATATAACTCAAAACATAGTATACTATATGATATGTTAGTATATAGTCAAATACTAGAAACATTAAAAGTAGCAAAAACAAGCTGACTCAAAGAAAAGATAATTGATAAGTGGGCAGTAAAGCTTAAGTCAATAAGTCTCAATCCAGACTCATTTAAATACAACACAAATATAAACAAGAAAATAACATATCAAGAAAAAAGCAAAACAAATAATAAGCAAGAGCTTGGAATATTAGAAGAACAAATAAAAGGTCTTAGTATCACTATATCATATTATCAAAAAAGTCAAGTGGCCAATAAATCTGAAATGCTAAAAAGTAATATAGTGTAAGAAATAGAAGAAAACAGTAAGAACACAAACATAGAATTAGAAGAACAAGATGAAGAACTAACTGATAAAGAAACCAGCACCTCATTTCTAACATATATGATTGAGCATAGTCGATAGTCTTCAGAAAACAGAATATGCAACAAAAACAAATTTTTTAAGACAAATATGCCAACTTATGCTTTACTAGGTGAATTCAAAGAAGAAAGAGTAAAGTATGTCCAGTGGATCCTAGGAAATAACCATCATATCAAAACAATCAAAGAAGTATTCAAAAATAGGAATAATTGAATAGAAGTAGATTTTGATTGTAAATATAGCAGAAATGTAGTAATGAACAGAATTAGGAAAAAAGAAGATAAATGGCTTAAACTTATTTTAGAAAAAAATAAAAGTAAAAAGTTAAGAAACAGAGTAGCAAAAGAAACACAATACTAAAAAAAGAGAAAGAAAAGATATAAAACAAATGAGAAAAAATGAAGAACTAAGAAGAACAAGAGAAATAATGAAACAAGAAAATGAAAAAAATAAAAAAAATGAAAAAAATGCTATAAAGAAAAGTATATTAATAGAAAATAATGAAAACAAAGAAAAATAATTGCAAAAAGAAAAATAGTTAACTATATGGGATCTGCCACCAAGTATTAATGAAAAAAAAATTAAATATATATACAAAAAATTTAAAAACTTGAACATTATACAAGTTAAAAGATCATTATACAAGGCATTAGCAGTAATAGTAGCGAGTTTAGAGAAAAAAGAAAATATTTCATAGGTACTGTTACTTGGCAATAACAATCTAACATGTATAACAATTAAAGATGAAGATTATAGCCTAAGAGATAAACATAAACAATATACAACTAAATTATTAAACATCTCAAGAGGAGCCTTAAAAGTGTTTCTGTTATGATGCCTAAAAAACAAAGATGCAAAAGCAGTATACATTCCATACAACAGAAATAAAAATCAAAAGAAGTTTGCAATATTCATCTTTGCAAATACTCTAGTAGCAGAAAAAGCTCAAACAACACTAATATGGTACAATAACCACCAAGTAAGTTGAGAAAATCCTAGAAAAAGAAAAAAACAAAAAAGAGATAAATCAAGAAGAAGAAAACAAGAAAGATCAAAAGTAAATAGTAAATAACAAAAGGTATCTAGAATTAGAAACATAATGCAAAAAAAGCCAAGTAAAAGATATGATAAGATAGGTTTAGACCTTCAGATACAAAATATAGAAAAGTGGTTAGAAAACAGAAATGCCAATAAAGAAGTAAAAGAAAATGATCTAAAAAAAAGAAAACTGATGCAGTTCTGCAAAATCAAGCAAGAATAGTACAAGTAGAAGATGTCTTGTATCAAATTTTGAATAGACTAGACAAAATAGAAGAAATGCAACTAGGTACAAGAAAAGGCCTAGCTGATCACTTCTAAGGGTGCTATAGTTGAACTAATGAATATAGACAAGAAGATTAAAGAGTTCTTGCAAATGAAAAAAAGATGTTTAAAGAATAAAGAGAAGTAAAAACTTCTTGTCAAGAAGAAGAAATACATAATAAAAAGAGAGAAAAACTTAAAAGTACAGAGACAAAACACAGATCACTAAAAGAAAGATAGAAAGACAGAAAAAAAGAAATAAAACTAGCATATTACAATGTGAATAGACTTAAGACCAAAGGTTAGAAATTAGAAATTCTGCTTAGCTGGACAAAAAAAAAGAAAATTACAATATTAGGAATTACGAAAACAAATCTTACAAAAAGAAAAAGAAAGTTTTTAACATATGTGATAGGCAAAAGATATATAGGGTTTTGGACAAATGTAGCAGAAAATAAAAAGAAAGGTTCAAGCATCAGAATTATAATCAATAAACAATAGAAAAAGCATATAGAGGCAGTTAAAAAAATAAATGAATATATAATAGAGATTACACTATACTTCAAACAATTAAAATTAGTTGTAATCATAGCATACATACTACTAAATAATAAGGTAGTAGGGAAAAACATTTAACAAAAAATTGTAAAAATGATTTTACAAAGGAAAAGACAAACACAAATTATTGTAATAAATAATTTTAATCACACAGTAGACAATATCCTAGACAAACAATATCTGCAAACAATAAACTACAAAAGACTGCCAATTTTCAATTGAATGAAAAAACAAGACTTTAGAGACATATATAGAGATATGAATCTAATAGATTAACAATACACATAGTCAAATAGAAAAGCAGCAACAAGAATTAACTATATATAGATATCAGATAGTTTAGTCTCAGGTTTACAGAAGGCAGAAATTGAAGAAGTAGAAGAAATTACAGAGAGTGACCACAAGATAGTAATAGCAGAAATATAGATCAAACATATAATAGCAGTTAAAAGCAAGACAAAGATTAAAAAAAAAAGACAGTCAAGAATAGTATACTTATATAATTAAACAAAATTAGAAGATTGAAAAAATTATGCACAAAAGCTACAGAACCAGTTAGAAATAAAAGAGGTTTTAAAAGATATTTGTAAGAAAGAACAAGATGAGAAGAGGAAAACAAAAAAAATAAAAATATATAAGATATAATAGAAGAAGCTATTATTACAATAGCAAGTAAACACATACTCAAGAAAAAAGTATTTAATACAATAACTAACAGAAGAAGAAGTCAGAAGAAACAACAACAAGAAGAAAGCATTGTCAAGTTACAGAAATTAATCAAGTATGTAAAAACTAAAAAGACACAAGCAGTAACAGAAGAGAAAAGAAAGAAAGTAAATAAATAATTAAAAACACTAGGCAAGAAAATTGGTGCAAAATTACCAAAACTACAAAGATAATAGTTAAATGCATAGATAAAATATATAAAAGGTTGGAGAAAGCTACTATTGAAAAAGAAAAAGAAGAACTAGAAGTAAATACAAAGAAAACAAATAAAAAAAAATATAAATAAAAGACATAAAATGATCAAAACAGATCAGAGAAAGATAATAGTGAGTCTCTTGAATAGGCCTTATAAAAAAATAATACTTAACAAGTTTATCAAACAAACAGAAGAAAAAACAACTCTACTAACAAGCTCAAAAGATATCAAAGTAGAAGTAGCAAAACATTATGAAAAACAATTCAGAAAAAAAAATACAAGATTAGAAGAAATATCAAA